CCCGGGTAGACCCAGTACCCTTAGGCTCACTAGCCAGACCTAGATAGACCAGGGCAGACCTAGTTAGACCAGGGCACACACAGATAGACCAGGGTAGACCTAGCCAGACCAGGGCAGACCTAGCCAGGCCAGGGCACACCTAGATAGACCAGGGTAGACCTAGCCAGACCAGGGCAGACCTAGCAAGGCCAGGGCACACCTAGATAGACCAGGGTAGACCTAGCCAGACCAGGGCAGACCTAGCCAGGCTAGGGCACACCTAGATAGACCCAGGGCCCTTAGCCTAACTGGCTAGACTAGGGCAGACCTAACCAGACCAGGGCAGACCCGGGTAGACCTAGGGCCCTTAGGCTCACTAGCCAGACCAGGGCAGACCTAGCCAGGCCAGGGCACACCTAGATAGACCAGGGCAGACCTAGCCAGACCAGGACACACCTAGCCAGACCAGGGCAGGCCTAGCCAGACCAGGGCAGGCCTAGCCAGACCAGGGCAGACCCAGGTAGACCCAGGGGCCTTAGGCTAACTAGCCAGACTACGGCAGACCCGGGTAGACCCAGTACCCTTAGGCTCACTAGCCAGACCTAGATAGACCAGGGCAGACCTAGTTAGACCAGGGCACACACAGATAGACCAGGGTAGACCTAGCCAGACCAGGGCAGACCTAGCCAGGCCAGGGCACACCTAGATAGACCAGGGTAGACCTAGCCAGACCAGGGCGCACCTAGGTAGACTAGGGCACACCTGGATAGACCAGGGTAGACCTAGCTAGACCAGGGCACACCTAGATAGACCCAGGGGCCTTAGGCTAACTAGCCAGACTACGGCAGACCCGGGTAGACCCAGTACCCTTAGGCTCACTAGCCAGACCTAGATAGACCAGGGCAGACCTAGTTAGACCAGGGCACACACAGATAGACCCAGGGCCCATAGGCTCACTAGCCAGACCATGGCAGACCTGGATAGACCAGGGCGGGCCTAGATAGACCAGGGTAGACCTAGATAGCCCGAGGGCCCTTAGCTAGCTAGCTAGAGTAGGGCACACCTAGGTAGACCAGGGCAGGCCTAGGTAGACCAGGGCAGGCCTAGGTAGACCAGGGCCTATAGGCCAACTAGCCAGACTAGGGCAGACTAGGGCAGGCCTAGATAGACCAGGGCAGACCTATATAGACTAACCTTTATAGGCCCTATAATATATACTATAAGTAAAGTAATCAGCTTCCTAGTAATATATATATATAGGTAGTCTAGTAGCTAATAGGTAGCCCTAGGTATCTTTAGGGGAAGACAGCGGTTCAAAGCTAGGCACTATCTTTTAAAATATATATTTTTGAATACCAGACTACATCTATCTAGGCTAGATAGACTAGACCATATCTAGCTAGACTAGAGTATGTCTACCTAGATAGACCACGTCCACCTACGCTAGACAGACCGGACCACGACCACCTAGGCCAGATCACGTCCACCTACGCCAGACAGACTAGACCACATCCACCTCGGTCACCTAGACCAGACCACGACCACCTACGCCAGACAGACCGGACCACGACTACCTAGACCAGATCACGTCCACCTACGCCAGACAGACCGGACCAGGACCACCACGACCACCTAGGCCAGATCACGTCCACCTACACCAGACAGACCGGACCACGACCACCTAGGTCACCTAGACCAGACCACGACCACCTACACTAGACAGACCGGACCACGACCACTACGACCACCTAGACCAGACCACGACCACCTACGCCAGACAGACCGGACCACGACCACCTAGACCATACTACGTCCACCTCGGTCACCTAGACCAGACCACGTCCACCTCGGTCACCTAGACCAGACCACGTCCACCTACACCAGACAGACCGGACCACGACCACCTAGACCAGACCACGACCACCTACGCCAGACAGACCGGACCACGACCACCTAGACCATACTACGTCCACCTCGGTCACCTAGACCAGACCACGTCCACCTCGGTCACCTAGACCAGACCACGTCCACCTACACCAGACAGACCGGACCACGACCACCTAGACCAGACCACGTCCACCTACACCAGACAGACCGGACCACGACCACCTACACCAGACCACGACCACCTACACCAGACAGACCAGACCACGACTATCTAGACAGGACTACATCTACCTAGGCTACCTAGACTAGACTATATCTACCTATACTAGACTAACCAGACTATATCTACTAAGACTAGACTATATCTACCTAGGCTAGATAGACTAGATAGACTAGGGTAGACTAGGGTAGACCTAGATAGAGATAGGGCCTACCTAGATAGGCTAAGGCTAATAAGCTTGTGCTGCTCTATAGTAGATATTATAGAAGGACTAGTAATCTAAATTAAATTAAAATATTTTATTAGTATAGAGAATCTATAGTTTTACCTAGTATAGCTTAGTATATAGTAATATCTTACCTCAAGAGATAGTTATTAGTAAACCCTTACTACCCTAGCTACTAAGCTAAGTCCCCTAGAGAGCCAGATCTCTAAGGCTAATAATATAGGTTTAGAAAGGCTAGCCAAAAAAGGGATAGCCTATCCGTACCTAGAGGTCTTGGCATCCCCCATCAAAAAATAATTCATCTAACCCCAATACGCCTAGATTAGCCTCTTCCCTATAGAAATATTAGGATATTTTTTCATATTTAGGTCCGTTAGGCTCTACTATTAAAAAATTAAAAAAGAGCGACCAAAAAAGATCAATATTTAAGGTAGTTAGGGGGGGGTACCGTGTTTTTCCCGATACCCCCCCCCCCTAGACCCACTCTCTTAACTATGGGTACCGGGGGGGTACCGGGCCCGACTATATTTAGGAATATCTATCGTACGACCCCTATACTCTCTATATATCCTGCCTGCTATAAAACTGCCGACTAAACCCTAAACCGGAAAATATTCTGAAAAAAACTACTATAATATCCCCTTTGGAATATATATATATCTACTACCTATGTCTCCAAAAAATATATCTTAGAAATATATAATATCTATATCTCCAAAAAATATATCTTGGAAATATATAATATCTATGTCTCCAAAAAATATATCTTAGAAATATATAATATCTATGTCTCCAAAAAATATATCTTGGAAATATATAATATCTATCTATGTCTCTAAAAAATATCCAATCTCCCGAAAACCCTAAAATCCTGTCGAAACTAATAACCCTAAAAACGCTATGAATGCCCCTCGAAACCCCTATGCTATATGCTTCGTACGACCCCTATACTCCCTATATACCCTGCCCGCTATAAAACTACCGTAACTAAATAAATCCTACTACTAACTCCGTCTGCCGGATCTATATACCCTCCCGTTCCTACCCTAAAAACTACACTACCTGCTGATTATCCTCTACCCGAACCCTGTATACTAATAATCGCTACTGCTATAACTCTCGCCCCCGTCGTACGACCCGCTGCCCCGCCTCCGTACTCGGCTCTCTAAACACTATCATCGCTACTATCCCTATCAAAACCCCCCGGTACGTATACTCCGCCCCCGCTATCGCCTGCCTTACGTATACCGTCTACGGTATCCCGTACCGGAAATAGCTAGTAAATACCGTATACCGGATCTGCCGCCGACTCGTTATAAGCTACTACTGCGCCGTACGATTACCTACTGCCCTATATTAATATAAATCATGCTCCGCCTCCTACCCGTCTATCGTATATACCTAATACCGCTCGTACTACCGCTGCGCCTCTATCTCTAAAAACTCCTACCTCTATAAATCCCTTTACTAGCCCTGCCGGTATACCTACTAGAATACCCCGCACTAGATATCCTGCTGCTGGAACTCGTACTAGATCCCGACTAGGATCCGCCGTAGGGGGCTGACCGTCCTTATACGCTACGCCTAGGACTAGATACTCTCCGAACTACTATATCTCCCCCGTTTATACCTACGGCCGGACCTAGGGGTCCCGACTACGTCCTACCCGCGATATCACTCCGCCGCCTCTGTCCCGCCTCGTACGACTATAGGTAGAATAGCGTTTCCTACTAATACCTCCCCCCGTATACCGGGGACGACGCCCGCTAGGGGTCCCTCGGCCGTACCGCTACGCCGCTGCTTTATACGCTTAATACCTCCGCGGCCGCTATCCGGCGGGCCTACCGCCCTTAGGGGGGTCGTCGTACCCGTAGTAGCCGCCCCTACATAGCTCTCCTAGTCGGGCTTATACCTATCGCATCGCACTTCGTACGACCCCTAGGGCCTATCGCCGCATCGAACCCGCTAGTCTCCGACGGTCCCGTCGAGATATCTATCTAGGATTACCTACCGGTACCGTCGGGGCCTAGCCGTAATATACTCGGTTAACCGCTGCTACCCGGCCTACTCGTCCGCGTCCGCCGTAGTATTAGGGTCCGCCGCTATCTACAGGGGCGCTGCGTCTATCCCCGTAGGCTAGATAATAATAGCCTCGCTCGCCTGCCCGTCCCGCCCCGCCCGCCTACTCTCCTACGTATAATCTAGGATCGTACGGGGCTAGCCGAGGTAGATTACGTAGCGGACGTCGGGGATATCGAGCCTAAGCCCTAGCGTACTCGTCGCTACTACGACCCCCGTAGGGCCCTACCGGAAGCGCTCTAGGATCCCCGCCTTATCGTCCTAGTAGCTATAGTACGCCTCGTACCCTAGTTCGCCCGTAAGGATACCGACGTACGTCGTAGTACTACCGTAGATAATCACCCGCCCGGCCGTAACCCGCTAAATCCGCTATCGTACGAACAGAATAACTGGCTCTATCTAGATCTACTAGTTCGGCCCCGCAAACCCCTACGCGACGGCCGGCCGCTATATACGGTATACGATATTACCCCGGCTCGTACGATCCCGGTAGAGCTCTACGTCCGCCTACGTACACCGTATCCGCTACTAGAGCTGCGCCTCGGCCGACGGCGGTAGCGTCGCGCTTACTAACACGAGCTACGTTTACGCTGCGATAAGCCGGCCGAGATGCCTAAGGAGCGGACGGAAGGTCGCGTCCCGGTAGAGGAGAACGTAGCACTCGTCGATTACGATCCGGTCGAGACGTTAGAGGAGCCGCTGTCGGTTAAGAAACGTCGTGAAATCTACGCTAAGCGCCGACTCGGGCGTAATAAGCACGATCGACGCTTCGTCCGGTAGCCGTCGACTCTCCTACGCTACGCAGGATACCCCGAGCGTCGTATAACGTGCCTAGAGATCCGCCCGTAACGCGATTAGCGGGACTACTACGACCGTAAGCCCGCCGGCGACCTACGCCGGGAGCATAAAGAGTATACTCTTACCGCCCCCGGTAGGTATTACCGCTACGACGGTGCTAGCCTTGTACTAGATCGCCCGGAGGGCCGGACCTTAGACGCCCCGGAACCGTAGCTGCTCGTCCCTAGTTATCTATCGTACGGCCTCGGCTAGGTCGGTCTTACGGAGGCGGAACCGGCGCTTATCCTGCGCCTCGGCGCTAGCCGTCTCCTACGGCGCTGCCCGCCTACGCTAGCCCGGCCGCCGGCCTAGCGCATCCTCGTACGACGGGAACCCGAGGAACTAGTACTAGTCGGTGCTAGAGAGGCAGAAGAGCTCCCGCCGGTACGCCGTCGTACCGGCCTACTCGCTTACCTCGCGCCCGTAGATTATCCCGGCTACGTACGACGAGTGCGCCGCCTAAAGGTCGGTAATATAGCTAAGGAACTACTCGTCGTCTATCTAGGCCTTGTCGTCTACCTCGGGCGCCCGCCCGCCCTCTATCGTACGATCCTCCTAGATATTATAGGGGAATACGCTAGAGGAGCGGAGGAACCGCCGGCTAATCCTAATAGTAATATCCTAGTACGTAGGGATATTAAGCGAGTACCTATATAGGCCGATAGCCGTCTCCCGCTTTAATACCTTCTAGAAGCGCTCGGACGTCTACTTATAGCCGGTAAGGGGGTCGGGCGGCTATAGATACGCTACGTAGGAGACCCGTACCGCAGACTCGTACGACGACGATAACGAGCGTAGGTAGGCCTAGAGCCGCTCTATAAATAGTAGGACGAGCTAGAGATACTAGACTACGAGCTCGCTAATCTCCTACGGGAGATACCGATAGATAATCTTAGCGTCGTTCTGTGCGTAGAAGCCCTTATAGTATCGGCTAGTAAAGACGATAAGCCCGTTCTTAATAAAGATATTCCGGTAGCCGCCCTCGGTATTCCGGTACCGGATACTAAGTAACTTAGGCGCCCGGCTAGGCTAGCCGGCCGTAATATAGACTGCGACGCTGAGCTACTCGCGGAATCGTACGACGTACTATAGGTACCGTTAGATAGCCGCCCTCCGGAACCCCTACTCGGACGGGTTGATAAACTAGCGCTAGATTAGGGCCTTACGGGTAAGCCGCCCGGTTATCTACCCCGTACCGTCTACCGGCTATATCGTACGCTAGTCGTTAAGGAAGCTCTAGCCCGCCTTGCCCTACGCCGGGTCGTCTATAAGGCGGTCCTATAGGATAGCCGGGACCGGCGTAGCTGCGGTAGGGAGGAGAAGCTCGTCGTATAGGATATAACGGGCCGAGCCCGCTAGCCCGTGTACGAACCTACGGAAATCCCCTATCGTAAAGTGGACCTCCTTATAGAGAAGCCGGTCGGGACCGATCTACGTAAGATAGCCGGGCGCCGTACTATTATAGTAGATCTATAGGCCGTACGTACGAAGATCGAGTATCTACTACATCGGTATATACGTACTGCGGACTATAAATGTGTCGACTAGGAGTTTTAGCTACTTACGGAAGGGCCGCGGTCGCCGTCGCTGTTACTACGTAAACGAGATTAGCCCGGGCTTGCGGCTAGCGGCCGGGGGTCGTACGACGGGGGTCGCCGGGCTAGGAGGCTCGGGGGTAGCGGCGCTAGCGTAGCCCTCGTCCTAGCCGGTAAAGACGTAGTCGGGGTCCTCTATAGGGCTATAGCTATCCTATATACCGACCGCCTACCGGTGCTAGAGGTATCGTACGATCTCCTCCGTATTAGGGTCGAGCCGCAGCGCTTTATAGAGTACTATAAACTGCGCGATCTTGATCGTCTACGAGAGGAGCGGGGGGTAGGCCTCGACTGTCTACTAGCCGTCGCGGCGCCGGCCTAGTACGGCTAGCGTATAGACGAGGGCGTACTCGTACTCCTCGGCCCCGATCTACTAGTTAAGGAGCTTAATATAAAAGTCTAGGTACGCCTGCTAGACCGCCGTAAGGGTATATAGCTCGGGCTCCCCTATCGTACGACCGCCGTCGCCGTCGCCGTCGGCACCCTAGGCCGTCGCTATTACGTACCGCTATAGTGCCTACTACGTACGTTGTTACCGGCCGATAAACCGGTACCGGGGGCTACGCTAGATATATAGCGGCTATATACGAGTAAAGAAGAGGAGGATCCGCTACTACGGCTCTACGTACCGCTAGATACTGTCTATATCTATATATATCTATAGCGGCTAGTACGGGCTCTCCTATACGTCGGTACGGGCGGCCTCGATCCGGATAAGATACCTATACTATACGGTAATCCGCTAGCTTACGCAGGCTACCCTATCTATCGCCTCCTAGATAGCTCGTACGACGCCCTCGGGGCCCTCGGCGTCTGCGTCTAGGGTAGCTACTGCCTCGGCGAGCGTACCGACCGGGACCCCCTCGAGGTAGCGTACCTACTACGTCCGACGGAGCTATAGGTTAGCCTTATCTAGCTCGCCGGCCTAGATAATAGTCTAGTCGCCCGCCTAGGATACGAGGAAGGACTGCTCGAGCTAGCCGACGAGCGCCTATACGAGGTCGGGGGCTACGGGGGGACCCCCGACGGGTTCGTACGATAGGCTAGGCTAGAGGATATAGAGATAGTATAAGTTAGTACCCCGGGGGAAGACCCGCTAGTAGATAACGGGCTATATCGATCCCTAGATAGCCTCGGCAGCGGCCTACGTAGCGGCGACGCTGGCCTAGTCGTGCGGCCGGGGTACCGCCTACCCGTACGCCTAGCGCTAGTAGTTCTTAAGGGTTAGTACGCTACGGTAGATATACCTGTAGTCGGCCTCTCGTACGTAGAGTACGCCGTCCGAGTAGACGGGGAGCCCGCTAATAGGCTCGTTAATCTACGCCGGTAGCCGGAGCTAGTCGGGGTCGTAGCTTACCCCGGCCTATTCCTATACCTCGTAGGCGATCGTACGAGCGGTAGCGATAGGGATCCGATATAGGGTATTAGTAAGATAGGCGAGCGCCTACTAGGGTCGGACGCCCTACTCGTACTACCGATAGAGAAAGACCGGGAACTAGGCCGCTCGAATAAAGAGCTAGTCGGCTATAATAATACACGAACCCTAAATAGAAAAGGTAGGGCGGGTTAGAAATCTAAAAAAGCCTTAAGGGGAGTACACCGTACGGTAGGAGGGTAATAGATAGTTAGGATTTATAGCGGGTATCTTAATCCTATTTTATTTACCCCTAGATAGTTAGCCGCTCTATCGGATAGCTATTAGTCACGACGGGAGTAATAGTACTATAGTCCTATATCGTACAGTATCCTTCGAGATTAATCTAGCCCTAACCGAGCCTAGTCCCGACCCTATACGATCGCTCTATAGGAGGGACGGGGATATCGGGGAGAGCGCTACCTTATCTATATAATAAAGAAATTACCTCCCTAAGACTAATAAAGAAATCCTACTCCTAAGGTTCCCGGGTAGAATTTATAGATTAAGGATGCTATCGTACGACGGGAGTTCTCCCGGAATAGGGGGATCTAGAGTATACTAGTTATTACTAATCCGGGATACTTATAGGGTAGCTATTCTCCTCGTATATCCCTATAAGGTTAGGATACTATCGTACGACGGGAGTTCTCCCGGAATAGGGGGATCTAGAGCATACTAGTTATTACTAATCCGGGATACTTATAGGGTAGCTATTCTCCTTGCGTATCCCTATAAGGTTCGGCGGCTCTATCTACACTAAACGCCTCGTAGGCTATATCGTACGATCCCTACCCTAGTAGTTAGTATCTATATCCTTCTTATCCGCCGCTACCGCCTATTTCCTAGCCTAGCTATATCTCTCCCTCCTTAGGCCCGCCGGGGAGGCTATCTCTATATCCTGCTAGCTAAATCTGCCCGCTAGCCTACTTCGTACGACGCTTACGATCCCCTCTAATAGCCGTATATAGCCTCTGGCCTACGTCGCTTATATCGTCGACTTACCTTATCTATCGCTTATATCGTCGACTTACCTCTACCCTCCGATATAAATTCCTCCTCCTTCCTACTAACCTTCCTCCCTCGTTAACTACCCTCCCCCCTATTAATTTTATCTACTATTTTATTAATTTTATCTACTTTATTATCACTTATATCGCTTAAAGCCCCCCTTATATCTTAGGATATCTTCGTACGTTATTTTCCCCCTCGCTGACGATACTATAGCCTAAGAGAGATACGCTTACCCGACGGTACGTCTCTAGCGTATAGCTATAGTTACCTCCGCCTTACCTTATATCTAGATTAGATACTAACTCTACTATACGTACGATAGACTCTCTTACCCCTCTAGTCCCCTCTCCTCCCTATAGCCTACGGGTAACCCGTTCCCTAGCCCCCCGCCCCGTAACGACTCGGCTACCTAGTAGCTCGTCTAGCTCTACTAGCTAGTCTTTTAGTGTAAGTACGACCCCTAAGGTATCTCTCGTCCGCTGCCGATTACCGGCCGGTAGCTCGACTAGCTACTCTATAATCCTATATAGCGTCGGGTATTAGCCCTCCCTAGCTTCGAAGTCTACTTCGTATACGGACGTATTAATAGCTAGTAGATTACCTCGCAGCGCCCCTCCTATCTAAATACGCTATTTATTTAGTCTTATAGCGGCGAGCTCCTACGGGCTTACGATACCTATAATAACGCCGAGGATAGCCCGACCCCCTTCCCCTTCTACGTCCGACTCCCTCGCTACTTCGGTAGATACTACGGTAACTATAAGTGGCGGGATTATAGAAGCCGGTGCTCTATACGAGATAGCTAGCGTAATAATTAGGCCCGCCCTACCCGCTAGCTCGGTAGGCTAAGCCTCCCCGCCGCCCCTAGCGCTACTAGTATAGCCCCCTCGGCTAGCCTATCGATGCCTACCCTAGGTTCGGCGTAGAACCCTCTCCTAATTACCGATAATAGTAATAACGCCGGTTCGGATGAATATTAAGTAGTTAGTTACCCCCCTGATCCGCCCTATATACTATACGATATAGACTAATACTTTTTCTCCCTTATAGATATAGGATAGAGTAAGAATAGTCTAATTATAAGAGGGATAGATATACTTTATAGCTTAGCTAGTGATTTTATAAACTTTAGAATAAATCTAAATTAACTAAAATGCTTCTCTGAATTATCCTATAATTATAGCCCTAACTTAGTTATAGGGAATACGCTATCGTACGATATATTATAAAAGGCCTAGTTATAACCCTATTAAAATAATTTCCCCTAGATCTAGAGATTTAGAAACTACCCTTAGAAAGTCTAAATAAATCTAAATTAACTGAAATACTTCTCTAAATTATCCTACTATTATAGCCCTGACTTAGTTATAGGGAATGCGCTATCGTACGATATATTATAAAAGGCCTAGTTATAACCCTATTAAAATAATTTCCCTTAGATCTAGAGATTTAGAAACTACCCTTTAAAAGTCTAAATAAATCTAAATTAACTAAAATGCTTGTATAAATTATCCTGCTACTAAAATATAACTTAGTTATAGGGAATCCGCTGTCGTACGATGGATTATATAAGCCCCGGTCGTAACCCTATCAAAATAATTTCCCCTAAATCTTTATATTTCTAAACCCTATAACTACCCTTTAAAATTCTCTGTTTGTTCTAAAATTTAAAATAGGTAAAGATTAATGACTTAATTAAAACTTTTGAAATTTTGAGCTCGTACGATCCATAAAAGGTATGCCCATCCTGGGTCTGAAAATATGCCTATCCTACCCCCCCCCACTTTTTTTTACTATGGGAAAAATGACGCTAGGGTGCCCACTCTGGTAGGATGGGCACACCCCCGTTGGATAGACTAGGGTAGACCTAGAGACCTAGATAGAGATAGGGCCTACCTAGATAGGCTAAGGCTAATAAGCTTGTGCTGCTCTATAGTAGATATTATAGAAGGACTAGTAATCTGAATTAAATTAAAATATTTTATTACTATAGAGAATCTATAGTTTTACCTAGTATAGCTTAGTATATAGTAATATCTTACCTCGAGAGATAGTTATTAGTAAACCCTTACTACCCTAGCTACTAAGCTAAGTCCCCTAGATAGCCAGATCTCTAAGGCTAATAATATAGGTTTAGAAAAGCTAGCTAAAAAAGGGATAGCCTATCCGTACCCAGAAGTCTTGGCATCCCCCATCAAAAAATAATTCCTCTAACCCCAACACTCCTAGATTAGCCCCTTCTAGATAGAAATATTAGAATATTTTTTGATATCTAGGTCGATTAGGCTCTATTATTAAAAGATCAAAAAAAAGCGACCAAGAAATATCAATATTTAGGGTAGTTGGGGGGGGGGGCTACGTGTTTTTCCCGTAGCCCCCCCCCCCTGGACCCACTTCCTTAACTATGGTAGCCGGGGGGGGCTACGGGCCCGACTATATTTAGGGCTTTACATAAGCTAATAGCTAAGAATAGGTACCTATTACTATATATCTAGGAATTCGACGTATAAGAAGGAAGAAAAAGGGGCTTATATTTAGATAATAGAAGAAATTAGAGCGTAAATATAAAAGTTTACTACTAATACTATTAAAATACAGCTATTTAGCCTAAAAGCTTTATAGGTAATATTAGAGCCTGTCCTCCGTTACTATAATTATTTTTATATAGATACAATCAGTAGAAGAGGAATAGCTAGAAAGGGAAGTCTGTAGTAAAGAATTCGAAGAATTAATAGGGTAAAATAGGTAGGTCTACCCGACCGTAGCAGCCAATCAGAATACGCAAAAGTGCTACTCAAGTGTGCAAAGTGTCGGTTGTGTATATATATATTTGATGATGATTGATAGCTAGGTAGAGTCTAATATCATATTATATTAATATCTCTATATTATAGAAGAACTAGTAATCCGAATTAAATTAAAATATTTTAATAGTATAGAGAATCTATAGTTTTACCTAGTATAGCTTAGTATATAGGAATATCTTACCTAGAAAGATAGTTATTAGTTAACCCTTACTACCCTAGCTACTAAGCCTAGTCGCCTAGATAGCCATATCTCTAAGGCTAGAAATCTAGGTTTAGAAAAGTTGGCTAAAAGAGGAATAGCCTATCCGTACCTAGAAGTCTTGGCATCCCCCATCAAAAAATAATTCCTCTAACCCAACACTCCTAGATTAGCCCCTTCTGGATAGAAATATTATAATATTTTTTGATATCTAAATCAGGTAGTCTCTATCAGTAAAAGATCAAAAAAGAGCGACTAAGAAATATCAATATTTAGGGTAGTTAGGGGGGTACTGTATTTTTCCCGGTACCCCCCCCCTTAGACCCACTTCCTTAACCATGGGTACCAAGGGGGGGGTTGCGGGCACCGTGTGTATAGGCTAAAATTATTTCTTACTAAAGACCTGGGGGGGTGCGAGGGTATTAGGAAATGCACAGGCCTCAGGTATAAGTGGGGAAGGTTTTGTTATTTAGCTAATAATCTTCAATCAATTCTACTTTCTAATAGAAAGGACAGGATTTAAACTAGCACCACTTTCTGCGGCCTTACATTTTTAAACACTTGAATTTTAATTGTTATTTACTACCTCCATTTTTCCACTATGCTTTGTTAAACTTATAGTTTGGTAGTCCTTTATTTATCCAGGACTAGTTTATTTGATCCGATTAAAGTAGTAGATAATTAAATTAGTTAAGAATATATAGTAGCTGTGATAGCAATCCCTAAACTACCCTTGGCCCTCTTGAACAAATAAAATAGGGTAAATAAATAGAGTATTAATAAAGTAAAGCCATATTAACTTTGCTAATTTTTTTCAACTATACCACCATGCATTATCTCTACTATGCCCTAATGATAATCTCATGGTAAAAGGGGGCGTAGTTTAAGGGACCCTATACCTAGGTTATCTGTCCAGGAGAAATACTGAAGAAAAGGAGAGGGCTTATCACTCTAAGCCTTCGCTTATGAGAATTGGAGCTATTGTCGAAATATGTGGAGTGGTAACTTACCACTAAGAACGGGCTTATTCATCAAGCACCCAGGTTTCTTATGTCTTTGTATGTAATACTGGCTTACAGAGAAACTCAGGCTTTGTAACAGCCGAGTATCGGCCGCACGGACAGGAATACGTCCGTACAGACAGGGGATAGCTATTCAACAGGCAATCCCCCTGATTTTCTATCATCATCAATCTGATCAATAATCTCTCATCCCATTGGACATCTTTCGTACTAGCCCATACAGAAATAGCCCATTCTGTCGGCTATTAAACTTAGTTTGAATACTGAAAAAGGAAGTTTTATTCTCTACCAGAAAATACTTAGGAAGGATGGAGAAGCACTAGATGAAAATAAGGCTATTTAAGATTATCTATTCAACTATTCTGAGTGGTTAGATAGTAAGCTAAGCTAGGATACGTGTGTTTTTAAGTATCCGCACTAGTGGACCCAGGGCGACATTCTGGAACCCACAGAGACTTGAAAGTGTTAGGTGGCTTCCTTTCTCAGTAGTGATCGCCTAAGTGTGGAAACATGGGTGAAACACACAGCTACCCCTGACGCTAAACGACTAGCGGCCTCATGTGGCTGCCCACTAGCGGAGTTTGGTCAGGGGCAGCTGGTAACTTGTTCATGGGCTTTGGACCCCTAAATGACCCCCGAGAGACCCTCACTGACCCCAAAATGCGCCCCAGGTATCGCGGAGCGTTCCATAATAGGAAAAGCCAGCTCCATCAGGCTCGTCGCTGGGGCCAGTCAGGCTCTGTCCCGCACAACCTAAGTTTAAACCTAAGCTTATCAGGTTTATGTATTGTGTAGCCTTTAACTAGTCTAGAAGTGCTAAGGAACTTCCCAATGCCTATCCTCTACGTTGTGCCTGAGGGAACGAGCCTTACTATACATGCTGTCCACGTGGTTTAACATACGGAACTGGACAGATTAATTGCTACCATTGGCCATAGAGCATATAGTCTTTTCAACTGGTTTCTGTGTCGGAGTCGAGCCAGAACTTGGCGATACAGAATATTGGATAAGGATTTATTCTATATGTCATGCCATGTGAAAGGGAACTTGACAGAATATTGTCATCTTCATCTGCCGGTAGGCTCCCGATGGCCGTGCAGAGCATATACAGAAGTGATACATGAACAGAAATTCCCAGTCAAGCGAAACGCTCAGCCTTCATAGCGCGACCTACCAGCACGAGCTCGTCACAGCTCCTGCCGCATAGCAGGTACCTTTATAGTCAGGACATGAAAACCCCCGAAGAGCCGCTTGCTTGCACGCCGTGTTCCATTGATCTCCCATGATAGTATCCCACGAATTCTTCTTGACACACTTGACGAATTGATCCAATGGTCAGTGAGATTAGATTTGGAGGTTACTAGCTCAGACTTACCAATCTGTTGTTGCTTGCCTCGTACACAGTTGCGCCCAACTATTGAGATTGAGTCAGTTTAGCACAACTAAAGAAGTGGCGAGAAGAAGCCTCACATAATATGCATCCTTGTCGTAAATCTCACACGCTGCGGACGTGAGTCTACCGTCAGATACACCCTCGCTCAAGCAAAGGCATTCCTGATGGAGATTTGCCACCGTGCTATGGAGAGACTGTATTAATGACCACAATACCATACATCGTGGTTTTAGCCATACCTCGAGGCAAAAGTGATACATGAGATAACAAGAACTTTGAGTAGCTGCATGGCCGCGACTTTGCATGTAGTGAAGAGCTTGCAAGGAGGGAGATTGCGAGAATTCAGAGAAGCATAGTCATGAAAGAACTTTAGGACGACATCTAAGTACTTTATATAATTTTCTACTTCAAAATTGAGATTCGCTTAGGGAAACTTACTAGTACCCTAATCGTGCCTCGGCAAGCGAATAAGTCAATGCGATTCGGTCTTGACAAGAGAGATAAGAAATTTCCCCGACCAGCTTCTTTGTCTCAGATTAACAATCTCCCAGTCCATTCTACCGGCGAACTAGCAGATCACGCGTAGTCGGCTCTATCGTTCAAGATTCCAAGTTTGGTCAACCGACTACTTTAGCCACCTCAGCTCTTATCAGCTTCGTCTCTCTGTAAAGAAATAAGGTTTCCATGATATCTCACTGGATCAATGATATAAAAGATCAGTCTGATAAGTGGCCATTTAGGATAGACTAGTACAAGCAAGCGCCCCGGAAAATCTAGCAGGATTCACTAATAAAGTGAAAACCTTAAAACACTAACTGGGCAGTCAGTGCTGAAGGATGACGGGATTTTACAAAGTGTCTCACTCTATCACGCTAGCCGTATCTCTTATCTTTTTCTCGATACAGCCTTTACCTAATTAACAACTTCTGAACCATATCTGGTACTCATGAAATCCTTCATCTGACCCCTGATTGCGCATATCTCCTTATCTAACGGTGGGCACAGATATTATGAGATGTCCTGTATTGCGAAAGTATCATGAGCTAGCAAGATGGTGTCAAATGGCGGTCGCACAGCTCGTATCCAAAGTAAATTCCCAATGATACGGATCCTTGGCTGGAAGCAAAATGTTTCATTTGGTCCTTGAAAATTCCGACTTCCGATGCACCAGGACCCACGGATATCTATCGGCGTTGATTAAATAGTGAGGTGGGTCAAGCGAAAGCCAGGTCACAAGGAGAGACTGCAGGCAACCGTTTCTATAAATTGGAGCTCAAGAGGACATTTGCATCATCCATCAGCTTGTTCAAACTTTACTTAGAATTGTTCACTATTCAAAACATCATGGTCCTTTCCCGCCTCTTCCTTGCCTTGGGCGGCCTTGCACTCGCCGCAGGCGCTGCTATCCCCTCTTTCAACACCAGCGACGTCACAGGTACCAATTGGCTCTTGAATGGCAATGTCCTCCTTTGGGGTCACGACGGCCGAACTCAAGCTATCACGCACGCTGAGTGGGAGGAGCTGAAGACCAACCTCACTGTGGGACCGCCACCCCCGCCACCCAACTGGAATGTCACACGTCCAGCTCGCAATGACACACACGGCCTGCAAGCCCGTGGGGCGTGCGAAGGAATTGCGGAGTTGCAAATCCTTGAAACCCAGACATTCGTCAACTGGGATGTGCAAGTGTCGCCTGTTGTCGGTAACCAATATGACCAAGCATATGTCTCCATGGCTGAGGGCTATTCAATCTCAAACGCCATTGCAATCTCTATACAAGCCTGGTATGGACCCCTCAGCAAGGTGCTGACACTTGTGTTGGGAGTCACCTACACCAGGACTTGGACCACCAGTACTACTGAAACCATTGCCGATTATGTGCCTGCAGGTTTAAGTGGACTTATTGTCAGCAACCCAGTGACCGTACGTCGGTATGGCAACTATATTGAAGGCTGCTACGATGACCCAACTTATAACTGGTATTCGGCGGATGAGCAAATTCCTCATACCTACCAGTCTGTGGACTGGGTCCAGGGAGCTTTCAGGTTGTGCGCGAGCAAGGATTACCCCGTGCCTTTCTGCGAGGGCAACGGTTTCCATTATTAAGCTACACGGCATTCGATCTCGTCAAACAAGGTGGCTTTTGCGGAACGGATTACTTAGGGCTCTATCCAGCTGATAGGCGAAGTATTGGGGTATTGGGTACCTTGCTGTGTTGTTTGGATATACGAGATGGAAGGAACTGCTCCGAGGAAATAGGAATGTATGCTAGCGATTACGGCGCATTGATATGTATATAGCTCAGCTATATGTTGGAGAAACTGAATCAAAATACTAATCTATATGCCTACTTGAATGGTTTTCCTTCTAGATTAAATCTGGAAGCTTCGAAAGTTAGTATGCCAATATGAACTGCACATGGAAACAGGACAGAAGAATACAAAGGGGGGTTCTAGAAAAGAAGAGCAGGGTGAGGCAGGGGCGGGATGGAGATAATGCTTAACAAAGCTTAAATATACTTATCCGACCACGTGTTCGTATATCCCCGTGCGGGACCCGATAAGGGGATTCACACGTGTGGCCACGAAGGAATCCTCATAATCTCCACTTACTCCAGCCTCCTTCTAATGTCGCCATCGACCCGCACGATGGCTACTTATGGCGAGATGTCCTTGCCCCCGTGGAGGCTTCCATACGAAGACCCCCGACATTGAGAATGTCCTTAGAAATTCACAACAGGTTGATTGACAAAATCTATGATTTATTAGCAAAGGTGGCTATCCACGCTCTACTAACCCCTGAAGACTTCATGGATCTATAGAAGTAATAGGGCTGGAATCTCGGGATGAATAGAATCCTTTTTATTGCATGAGGGTGCTACAGCTGGCGTAAAATTAGAAGCCGTTAATACCAAGCCTGAATAAAGCCGAAGCCTTGGTGACTGGAAAAGACAAATGGCTAGAGAGTCACAATTTATAAAGGGGATTGGTTCGTATTTTCTTTTTCTTTTCTTGTCTGATCTAGAGTCCTTGGAAGCTATTTTTTTAATGTATTTTATGCCTGACTTCACAAAACACCCGATGCGACTAGACCTCGGCAAGGACCGCCAAGACCTGCTCTTGGCGGTCCGAATATAGAGCTCTAATGACCGCCAAGATATTTTTCCAAGTATAAATATACATAGAGTACCCTAATTAGGAAACTATTTACTTATAAATCAGTATTTATGTATTATTATACGTCTTGGCGGTCCTTATAGCGGTCCTCCTAGCGGTCCTGGTCCTAAGATTTGGGACCGGACCCGGTCTTTGCCGAGGTCTAGATGCGACTTGAGTACTACTATTACTACTCATACGATAAGAGGAGCCTGTCGCAGGATAGACCCACAAATTGAGGATGGGCGAATATGGTTCAACACTCTGTTACCGGTAGCATTCAACAACTAGCTGAGTTTGGATGAGCATACAGGTTGATAAGGAAGTGGAACAAGACAGGCATGAGTGAACTGGGGCACCAAAACCACCGATATTCTGACATTGATGTCAGCTTAGCAAGTAACGGGATATTTCAGCCGAGTTGAAGTGGTCGTTAGATTGGTAGATTCAATCGCCACCTCCATACTAGCGTATACGATCAAGTTGCCCCGTTGACATGTTCTGCCGGTTTTACTACTAGAGGTGACTAACTGAATGATAAGATTAGCTCTTTCACTAAGGGGAAACGCGCGTGGATCTTGTGGACAAGAGCCTATAGATAACCAAAAAGGTAAATAGGGTAAGATATAGGCCGCATAGGCGTAGATCTATCTGCCTTCCATAATACTAGTGCAATGTTTATACCCCTGGGCACGCTCTGATAGCTAAAACCTTTCTAGAAGGTAGTTATTACCTCCCTCCACATGTAATCAAACGCTAAAATAGCACTAAAATATAAAGCCGCATGCAACGGATCGTCTAGATCCTGCGCTCTGCCCTGGGCTTTGGCTCCCTGAGATAGACACACTAACTTGGGTGGCTTTTAGGTCTATTCTTATCGTATCACAGAACTCCATTCCACAAATCGTATTCTAATCAAAACATTCTAGATCAAATAGATAGCCAGGGGATAGATTACCCCACTAACCCCTGAGATAAACTTTCGAAGGAATATGTTGAAACATGGAGCGATAACTTACCGGCAACTGATAGGTCACACATAGGTACAGTAGGCCCACATTTGTTAGGTATTTGTATGTAATTATGGATTAGTCATGAACTCAGGCTTTGTAATCGCCGAGTACCGGACGCACAAGGGGGGGGTATCGTCAACATCTCTCCCCTGATTTTCTTCTCCGATCAATCAATCTTGTCATCCTAATTTGATTCCGCTTGATCATTCTTTATGGTTGCATACTAGGCTGTACAGTTTCAACTTGCTGCGACAGAATATCATGATTCTCCTATTTGATTAAGTAGATCGCAGTGTGTCTCCCAAGGTTTTCCTTAGCCCACACATGCTTGAGCTCTCTGTTCTTGACGGGCAGTTTATCTAAATCCCTAGTATTTCTTCTACTATAACTATAGTAAGGGTGCAGCACATCAAGAAATTCAAACATAGAAATAGTAATACCTCTACTTCCAGCGATATATGTACGTTTATTGGTTTGCGTACTTAGTAAACCTATTCGTGCGCCCCATATCATACAGTAACATTCGATACGAACGAATTAGCGGAGCGTCAACTCGAAATATAATTCTGTTAAATGGTGCTCAGTGTCACATACTCTGAGACTAGATCCGGATCCTATATACACCATTCCTCTCCTCTATTTCCTAGTCTTTGCCTTTACTTCTATACTCTCGTCCCGCACTCGTCTCTAGTTCAGAAAGATGTTCCTCACAAGTCTGACCATCGGTGCGTCTTCCCTTGCTCTTGCAAGAGCTGGGCACTATAACCTACACTATTCCAACTAGTTCTGGGGCGAGTGCTACAGCTCTCGACCCTTCCCCAGTTGGTATCTCGTAAGTTTCTCCTCTCGAGTTCCTCAAGGCTGCGTCTAAAAATTTGCTCACAGGATTGAGTTCTTCATATTTCCATCGTATATGAAGATTGTAACGGGAACATTGCAATGTCCTTCAAAATTTCGAGAGAATGAGCGGTACATGGCCACCGATGCGAATCGGTGGGACAACCCAGGATCGTGCTACCTATGATCCAGAAAGCCCATATCGTTTATTCTGCCGAGAAATCTACAGGCGCGCCAGCTAGCTTAACTTTTGGGCCGTCCTTCATGTCTTTCGCAAACACATATCCTGCATTGGTATGTGATCTTGTAAATGGCCAAAGTGGAGTTTAATTGATAACGCTAGGCCTTAACTGTGGCAATGATAACTTGGAGAATACTATTGCGGCAGCTCAGGTAGCTAAAACCAGAATGAAGAATTTGAGGGCAATAGAGTAGGGAAACGAAGCAGAATGTACTGAGCTCGCCTTCTTGAAACCCTTTCCAACAATATCACTAACAATTTCCAGATTGGTGGGGCGCTAGGCAACCGATTGCAGTTGCTGCCGGGACTTGAACCACAGCAAAGGATGCTGCACCTCAAGACGACTGGGACATCCGTGTCGGAAAAGCCCTATCCTCGACTATAATCATCCAAGCAGGAAATTCAATGAGGGACCGCCTACATGGGGAGCTGCTGAACTCATCGAGACTGAGAATGCTGAAGCTCGGTCATATGTGTATGACTACGCACATCATAAATATCCGGGAGAAGCTGTAAGCAGCCTCATGAACCATGTCAACATTGCCAGAAATGTCGGTTGATCTGTCGAAGATGTTGCAGCAGCCAACAGGGTCTGAAAGGAGTATTTCTTTGGGGATACCAATTCCGGTAAGCCATGAAGACTCCCTTTGCTCACTATGAATGAGAACTGACCTCTGAATAAGTCGCTGGGGCGGTGCTGACACTGTCTCTCCCACATTCGGTGCCGGCCTTTGGAACTTGGATTACGGTCTCAAGGTAGCTGTGACTAATATGAAGCGCACGTACTTCTATCACGGTACCCTCGGGGCCTGCTATTATTGCTGGTGGGGAAGATACACAATAGCATCGCCATACTATGGTGCTTATGTGGCAACTGCGGCTATAGCGGGAGGTTCTTACATAGCAGCCCTTGACGATGGGTCGACAAACCATGCCACATACGTGATCTACGACTCAACTAAGAAACCTCTCCGGGCGGTATTGATCAATTCTGACTATTATGAGACTGGAACCGGAGGAAGTCAAGCTTTATTCTTAAGGGCTTGACAGCAAGTGTTAAAGCGAAGAGACTTCAGCAGTCAATTCACTTAGCAGAGTGGACCGAGGTTCGTCGTCAACTTTTGAAGGCCAGACTTTCGCGGACATCACTTGTGACATCAGGAGGACTGAGGATTTTGAGACAATGCTGTATACACGGAGAGGCAATCTTTACTGTGAAGTCTTCAGAAACATTGTTGATCTAACTCCAGTAGGTTATGCTGGTACCACTAAGCATCCAGCACAGCCGGTAATATATAAATCTTCATGTGCGATTCTTTGAACCCATTGATTGATGCGGGAATAAATGTTACATCGCATATCTGACTTTCCAACAAGGGACAATGGTGAAGGTGTTGATGATATGACCTAATGGGCACAGTCGTATTTCCCAGGGCACGTAACCAGATATCAGGTTCTTTGTTACTATTATTATACCTACGCGTCGTCCCCCATTTCCTATACCATTTCCTGTCCAACCATCACTGTATGTAGATATCTAGCATAGCATATGCGAATATCATCATCTGTCCAGTTATATCAAGGTCAAATATTCTACATATGGATCTGGGTAGAGATATTAAAATCCAGCTCAATTAGACCAAGAAATGACCAAGGCGAGAGAGGAGTAGAGCCAATAGATGTCATCATAAACATATATCATAGTACAAGGTTAACATAATGTTAGTTTGGTAACTCTTGACTCATATAACCACGTTGAGTCAAACCATAATTTATCAGGAAGGTTAGCGTTTGATACATAAATCTAGGATAAAAGGACTTGGAGCAGATGCAGATACAGGTAGGATCGTTTATTCATTCATGGTTTGTTATCGTGGCTTTCTGAATACACCGTAACTCTTGCCCCAATCCGATTCTCAAGAAGTGTAATTTCAAAAGTTGTGCGTCTGGTTTATTTTTGGGTCTCGAACCACTAGATTTCTTATAGCTTTATCTTGTATTCTCAACTCTTCCATGCTCTAGGTTTTGCGGTCATCCTGACCTCACAATGTTGAGCTTCTGCTCACGGCTTGTTTTGAGATTTGATTAATGTCGACATTTCAGTTAATGTTTCTAATATGTAAAAGGCCCCAGTGACTCGATCATTTCAATGAAATTATGGGCCTGACTCTTTATGTCCTCTTGACGCTCTTTGTCCAGCACCGACTGCGAATCTTGTTTTCTCTGACGCGCTTTTATCTTTTTCAAGACTCATTCTTTTTGTAAAAATAATCCTTTGTTGTTAATGGTTATTTTTGGCCTCCCCTAGCTGGCATCTTTTCACGCAAGTCACGCCGTTCTCAGGGTCTCTCCCTACTGTGACTGCCGGCCTGTCTCGTAGAACCGAGTTCTTAATGGGGGGGACAAGTTTCCGTTTCAAACCATTCCTTTCCCGTCAAGCTCCCATTCAGAACGGATGATGGTCGTACTTCTCAAGATGTGAACCTATGAGCATTGAGAATGAGCACACTTAAATGGGACACTCTATACTAATCGTGACACTTCAGCTTTGTGTAGTACCTTAGGATTGTGACGCATGACAGCACGATGAGGGACTGGGAGAGCGAAGGCCCTGTGGTCAAATGACTCGGAGATCACCCAAGGGACACGTGAAGAAGCAAGCACCTGATTGGACTAACCTGATGGGGCCCGTTTGCATGGGAGCTCTCTACATAATAGCGGACACACACCCCATGGTTTCTTCCTTCTTCACTTTAGTTGTTTTGTTGAATGCACCTGGTTCATTTCCAGCCTGGCTCCTTCGTAACAAGGATATATACTTTAGTCTAGTAGAATATCTTAATAAAATCGATGAACAGCAGGAGAGGTAAGGGTAAGAGAGTCTGGAGTTTAGCGCCAATTGGTTACTAAGTATTAATAGCTAGGAGATATTCCTCTTATAATTTTATATAAATGTTCTATGTTATCATTTATATAATACATAAACTGATGTAAATGCAGAGGAGTGTGGTTAATCATATGTTAACAATTCGCCTTCTAATAAGCAAGGTTCCCCGTAGGATTAGATATAACTCTACCTACAGACCAGATTTCATTTCGGATAGTAATGGTGAATCATACTTATATATACTAATACCTCCTACTATGTACCTAACTCATGTCGCAATCCATGGAGGTATAAAAGCCCCGAATGAGATAACTATGATGCGTACAATGGAAGCAGCTTAGACAGCTGGCACCTGTCCAGTTGTCTGCCAGCAATACAGAGGTCGATGATTACGACGTAAGCTTACTGATACTTCCTCGGTTAAATAGTTGGAGTGCCATCGACCTGTCCCTCCCTCTCTTTCTAGGGTGTTACTACACTTCGGAGCCATAGATTTTGTAGAAGAAATGCCATCCTGTTGTAACAAGCCTTTTTATAGTTTGATATTCTTTTTATCCTTCCTTAATCTATGCTTTGAAATGGGTAATATGGAATTTTCTCCTCAGAAGACCTGTATTCTTTTGAGCCAGCTTAGATTGATACTACACCAGACCTTTCTGTAACTTGCCATTTGTATTTTAATACATGGTTGGTATTAATAACCATTCATAATGGAGCCTTACTAACTAGTGAGCTGCATATTCTTGAATGCTACGTGCTGAATATCGGTGCGGGTCATAATCGAAATATTAACCTGAAAGGACATATAATGACAAAAGAATAGAGATGGAACTCAGGTTAGCAACAAGGATTTTTTCTAGGTTCTGCAGTGTTTGGTTTTGATTTCTGTGGCTCTCAGTCGCCTCTCTCAGTAGCCGTCACTCGTGTAGGCTAAATTAAGGTGGACTTGGCTAATCATTGTCAATAAGAAAGTACACGGTGAGGATTATGAAGGAGCCCTACCCGCATTCCTACGCAAGAAATCAAGTATATCGTGTTTGCCTTACGCCATGGGGGTATAAAACTGCAGACATTTAGACCGAGCTGTTATTTTTCAGCTGCTCGTTTCTCCGCCTCTACTAAAGCCGTGAAGACTAACTTGGAAAATATTACAACGTTCATCTAGAGTGATTTTGAGCATCAAGGAGTTCGCGGGATAGAGTTACGAGGTATGAGAATATATTTACTCCTGCTAAAATCTGGACGCGCCAATCTCTATGCAGTCAAGTTCGTGTAATACAGTGGACTAACAGTGGTCCACCAAAATACATGGGCTCAAGGGCGCGGAAATAGATAGTATCTTAACTATATAGACACGAGTGTCGCTTTGTATTGTATTATAGCTGCTAAGTGGGTGGTCCGTTAACTAGCTGAGAGTCTTTGGATCTAGGTTTAATTTCATTGCACCGTAAATTCTGTCACAAGATTACCTGAAGGGTCTCGCGAGGGCAGCTACGATATGATCAACTAGCAGTAAATCATGCTGCAAGAACCTCTCGTGGAAACTCTCTCAAGGTCTCCTGCCCAAGGGAGACATCTCCTTGTAGTACGGAGATAGATACGCAAAATCTGACTTGCCTGATTCTGCCAAATGATGGCCCCAGATGGCGCGTCCCTTGATGTGACAGGATTGCCAGCTTGTCGATCTCCATTGAGGATAAGGTTAGATTAACCACATTTATGGTTCGTTCGTGTCGGTTGGGCGATTATCACAGCATCTCTCCGCCGATTTTGTATCCAAACAGGATGCGTTAATTAATACTCAGGCGAACCTGTTGTGAAGATCAAGGATTTCCCGACCATTGAGACCAATGCAATCTGCCACCTGTCCTTGATAAAGTCTCAAAGTCTCGAAGTAAATTTATTGGATTTCTTTACGTTATAAATTAGCCCTAAAATATGTAAGTATATGTAATTATAATTCTAGGCCGTAACAGTTTGTGGAGAGAAGGAGTAGTTTCGGTAAATTCTTCCATGTCTCATGTGCTTTACGTTCTTTCGCCACTTCTCTCGACTCATCTACTTATCTCTGCTCATTCTTTAAGGTCCATAATTCAAAGACTACCTGATTAGTTTGGAAGTTATACCCTTAAAGTTCTAAAGTCGCTTTAGTAAGGCACAGGACCTGCATAGTATGCGAAGTATACGGAATACAGTTTTGTTATCAGAGTAGATAAATGAAACTTTTAGTCATTAACGCTCACATAACTAGTTACCTCGTTGGATCTGATTAGTTATTAAGCAGTGTAAACAGCACATACATGGAGGGTTAAGACTGATCATATGGCAAGGACAGTACAGCGGCATCAAGGATAGTCCTAGACCTCGGTAGAGTCCATATATAGACAGTCCACTAATATCCATAGGCGGACAGGATAAGGGGGTGTCCGCCCACTGTCCAAACCTGCCAGCCCAAACCCGCCCATGCGGGGTATTTATACACAAATATGCTTATAATCTTGCTGAATAATCATATTTATTAGACTGCAGTAATATCCTTAATATCTATAGATATCTATATATCCTCTCCGTAAATTACGGATATAGTATATTACCTAATATCCGTAATCCTTAATTTTGTAGATATAGTATACTACCTAATATCCTCTAGATATTTAAGGATATCTAGTAGATATTAAATAGGCTAAATATACCTAGCTTTATAATCTTTTTAAGTATATATTATTTATATAGTTTCCTATATATTTTTTAAGTAATTATAGTATAATTATTATTTTTAAAGATTTTAATTTAGTAAATATAATTCTATTATTTCTATATAATATCTACTATCTTAAATTAATCTAAAATCTATTAGGTAACCTAGGTTATTTCTAAATTTACCCTAACTATCCCTATATATCTCTATCTATTAGTATTTCTAAAAAGCTATTATTATTATTATTAAAAGATTTAGATAATTGTTTCTTTAATTATTTATACTATAATTATTTATTTTAATTATTAGACTTTTTATTATCTAAATTATTATTATAGCTCTCTATTTATTATATATTTTTTATATTAGGCTTTTAATCTTTTTTTTATTATTACTAATTAACTTAAGAGTTTTAAGCTAAGATATTAGTTTCTAAGCTTAATCTAATAATATAGCTTTTTT